AAAGTGTCATAGGATAGATAAGTGTATGTTTAACTTTATAAGAAACTGCCATACAGTTTTCCAAAGTAATCATGCCATTTGACACTCCCACCAATGTATGAATTTCACTAGGGAGCACACTCGTTTAAGTCAGGAATCTGAAAGACAGATTTTACAGCAGAAGAACATAGACTGGATTGAAGCAGGAGGAACTGAAGGTAAAGAGTCTAAAATAGGAGTTCAAGTATGAGCTACTAAAAGTCTATACACAAGTTGTTGCAAAGGATAAAGGAATGGAATATTTTAGGAGATACTGTAAAAGAAATCAGATTCCATAAAAACAGAGGAACCAAAGTCAACTCTGAGATCTCAAAGTTCAGGGGAAGCTCGTCGTGGGGTAAAGATAAATTTGGTTTGGGGCGTGTTGAGTTTACAGTGCCAAGCCATCTCACCAGAAACATGGAACAGGTCAGATCTGGAGGTTGAACTAGAAGTTACCGGGCTAAAGGTAATAACTGAATCCAGAATTATGAATGAATAGTCCAGAAGACAAGATAAGCGTAGAGCAGCTAAGGCCCAAAGCTTCTGTCATAGAAAGCAGTTAGGGTGTGTAAAGAAAAGGCTAATAAGTGAATGGTTACGGAGACAGGAAGACTAGCATGATCTCTTGTGAGTAATGCATAAGGTTTAGCTCCATTTCGTGGTAGGTATTTTCCCTTCAAAGTCCTCCAAACACTGAGGTATATTTTGCACTACAGGATACCAAAGCGGACTCAGAGCTTGAGGAACTTGCTGAAAGCCAAAAGAGCATGTGGCAGAGCTTCATTCTTTCACTTTCCCCCCATTTCCTTGTCCCAAACACTATTTCTCAGGTGTCTTACAATGCAAATATCTCATCCGCCTAAAAAACAAAAACAAAAACAAAAACCTGAATCTGTAGGGCAAAGTTTAAGCTACTTAGCTGTTTGGACATGGCATTCTACTTATCAGAGTACTTCCAGAAAAGTGTTGTATTTCAGTTGCTTATGCAGATAGGAATCTACTGTAGTCCCAGTGCCCTGTGCAGCACAAGGCTCTGGGGCCCTTTGCCTGCTTCCAGTTTTCCAAGGAACCCAAACCCCTACCCCTGCAGGCTCCAACGAACTCAGCATTTTAATCTTTGAGTGGGAGCCTCACTGGTGTCACACTGCTCCTAAGCAGTAATTATTTGCCCTTCAACTAAGTCTTTCCTTCAGCACAAAGAACGCCTCAAATATGGTAGGGATCTCAGTCCCTGAGGTGAACTCTGGGAGCACCCTAGAGCAAGTAATCTTCAGGTCAGCCCTCACTGTAACTGAAGAAGTGACTGTCATGGCAGGTGAATAATGGACTTGCTTTCCCAAATCTCCATTCTAGTAAATTACCTGTATGACTAAAATTATGTCCTTCCTTTAAGAATACATTCTCATGCCTGAGCTAGATTACATGATGTGTATAAACTAGGTTACTTACTTTTGTTTTTTTCTTCCTTAAATATATTTTAGAGTCTAAGCCTTTGAGTCCTGTTTCCCTATACAGAGCAATGTTGATTTCATTGTGAGTTTCTGATTTGGCCACTAGAGATCTCGATGACAAGTTACTTATGAGACCTGGATCCAGTACCATCCTTTCAACTCGAAATTGGCCAAATCGAGGCCTGGAGCTTAGTACATCGGCTCTGTCATACACAGTGCAGTCTGCCAGGAGACGCAATCCCCCACCACGTACCCTTCATCCCATCAGCACAAGCCATTCACATGCTGGAATGCCAAGACCTGTGGAAGAAATCCTCAGAGGATCCCGAGTGTAGGTTTCAAAAGCAGAATTTTTGGAAACTGTGGTAAAACTAATGAAGAATTTTATATAGAGAATGAATATAAATGTAAGGTTGAAATATGTGTCTAGGAACTAATCATTACATATTCTCATGATGGACTACACCCTGGTTTAAATCCAACAGAGAAAGAAATATGGTCAAATCCGAATAAAATTCAGATATTGGATCCTTCTGTTAATTTAGCTAAAGATTTACTTCTACAACAAAATGTTGGCTAGAATACTTCAGTGACACTTATCGAAGAAGATATATGTATCTTATCAAACATTTTCCTGAGTACATGCTCAGTGAAATTCATTCCCAAACAAGTTAACTCTCCTTTAATATTTTTCTGTACCACTGGGATCTGCTTATTCCATTGACAACGATAACATTCTAACCTCAGATAAGTACTTGTCTATATACTGGGAAAAATATCCTTTAGCACTTCTTAGGAAATAACACTAACCATACTCTTTCCTTTTCCCACCCTTAATTCACTCTGAGCTTTGTCATGCAAAAAATACTTAGAAGCCTATTTTTTTAAATAAAGTTCTTCCATTAGTTGTTGATTCACAAAATATCTTAGGATGTTTGATTCTAAGACTATGATCAAGGCTATGAGATAATATAGCTGTAACTGTTTTGAATTCAGCTTCTTAATTAAGCACCTCACTATACTTCCCTCCCAACATGTTATTTCTTGACTTTGATTTTTCAGTTTGTTTTAATTTATCCCAATAGATTCACTAAGAGATGTCCATAACGCCCAAAAATCTTTGTCAGAACACCGGAGTTCTTCTCACCTACTCACTATTTTATTATGTTGATGTTGGTATTGATATAGTTACAGATTCACTTACTTGAGGATAAGCAGTTTTGAAGTATAATTAATCTCTCATACCTTCTGACAGTGTCTTCTGGGACATGAAAGTATCATTGATTTCCAGGTACTGTCTTGAATATGAGTAATGCTACAAACTGGAAGGAAAGTTTAGGAGCTTTACCTGGGAATTATAATTACAGCAGTCCCCCCTGACCAACAGGGGATATGTTCCAAGACCCCCAGTGGATCCTGAAACTGCCGAGTACCAAACCTTATATGTACTATGTTTTTTCTTATACATACATACCTATGATGAAGTTTAACCTCAAAATTAGGTATGGTAAGAGATTAACAATAATAAAGAGAAACAATTATAATAATATACTGGAATAAAATTTATGTGAATGTGGTTTCTCTCATATCTTCCTGTACTGCACTCACCCTTCTTGTGATGATGTGAGATGATAAAATGCCAACGTGATGAGATGAAGCGAGGGGAGTGATGGAGGATTGTGATGCAGCACGAGGCTACTAGTGACCTTCTGACAATATGTCAGAATGAGGATCATCTACTTCTAGATCCCAGTGACCATGGGTTAACTGAAATCATGGAAAGCAAAACAGTGGATAAGGAAGGACTACTGTTATTAGTGAAAAGGACAACCAAAAGGCCCAGAACTGTGGAGAATTCCACCAGATGTGAAATTACAAATCCTTAATAAGTTAACACCAAAATGGTGTAACACCAGATAGGGAAAACTATTTTTGTCCAGCTCTCTCTGAGACAAAGGGTCAACTTCTGCTGTGTGCCCAGGATAAAGTTTCAACAAAAATCAGAAAGTATTATGAAAAGCTCCCCCCAAACTGATTTTCCAAAATCCTTTCACTGAGCTTGCTTTAAAAACATAGGAAGCTTAAAGCATTCTGTGCATGACATTAAACTCATCCCCCTCATTTATTTGACTCTAATCAGTTTGCTTGTATTGTTTTAACTTTATGCTTTCTTATCTTGGTGTTTGCTGGTGGGATCTGCAGCCCAGTAGCAGCTGAATCGCTCTCTCCCTCACCAATGCCCCTGAGTCGAAACAACCTGCTGCCCCCTATCGGCACAGCTGAAGTGGAACACTTGAGCACTGCGGGGCCACAAAGGCCAACGGTAGGTCTTTCTCCTATTGCCTTTATATGTGCTTAAAACCTCAAGGACAGTAATTCTGCAGGATCCGTGTTCTGGAATTAACTTATACTGTATTTTGTCCAAAGTACAAACTGAATCCTAACTTTGTAACAATGGAATTGGAGTTCCTTGGCCTGCAGTTACCATGCCTACTTGGGTTGATGTAGGACATGCACAGCTCTGGCTACAAATTGTTTAATGGTTTCTATAATTTTTGTCTTCCCTGCAGAAAACCCATGGTGACTCCAATCGAGCTCGAAGTGCAGTGGTGGATGAGCCCAACCATCAGCAGCCCCAGGAGAGGCTCCTTTTACCTGACTTTTTCTCCAGGCCCAACACAACTCAATCATTTTTGGTAGTGACATACTTCCTCTATGGTCTTGACAGCTGGGGAAAGAAAAAAACTAGTTTGGCAGACTTAAGATTTCACATAGTGCCTTAATCAACTCCAAGAATAAAAGCGGAGGCTCTTAACAATAAAAACTGTAATAAGTACATTTCATTGAAATTCTAACTGGTCTCTGACATTCAAATAGAATTTTAAAAAAGGTAGGGTAAAATGAAGAATAAGGTAAAATGCCTTATACCTGTCACAAAGTTTAAACAATTTAAATTGTTAAATATTAAATATTTCTGAGAATAAGCAAAACAGTGTTAAACTCCAATACATCAAATCAGCATAACTCTTTCTCTAACACTGCTCTCATGGAGTTACACCAAAAGTGGTATCAGATTATGCTATGGACTGATGGATGGCAAGTCAGGACATTCATTTTTTTAAATTGGTGTTTTGAGATGCTTACATCACCTTACCATTTAATGTGCATTTACTGGCCCCTTTACTTTTAAGCAAGTAATAGAAAAAGCTTAGTAGGGAGGTTGGATGTCATGCACTGATCTTACCCAATTGTAGGCCAGCCACTCAGCCCCACCTCATCTGCTTTGTGGCAAAAGGATTTGAAGAGCCTGGGGAACTGGGGCCACACTCAGTGCCCAGGAGTCAGGGGCCTCAAATCCTCTACCACTTTTCAGGATGGTGGTATTTGAAGCCCACTTATTCCAACTTATAAACCTTGAATTGTATCAGCCTAAAGCACTATACAATTCTCCACTAGAAGAGTGGTGAGAACAAATGGGACAGTATAGTAGTATCCTAGGGCTACCATAACAAATCACCACAAACTGGGTGGCTTAAAAGAGAAATTTATTCTATCAGTTCCAGAGCCTAGAAGTCCAAAATCAAGGTGTCAGTAGAACCATGTTCCCTCTCCAGGCTCTAGGGAAGGATGTTTTCTCATCTCTTCTTGGCTTCTGGTGGTCACCAGCAATCCTTAGTACTCCTTGGTTTGCAGCCACATCAGTCCAATTTCCGCCTCTGCCTTCACAGAGCCTTCTTCCCTGTGTGTGTCCCAATTTCCCTCTTAGAAAGATACCAATCACTGAATTTATGGCTGACCCTAATCTAATATGACCTCATCTTATCTTGATTACAACTGCAAAGATCCTATTTCCAAATAAAGTTACATTCATGGGTTCCAAGTAGACATGAATACTGGCGGGGGCAGGGGATGGGGGACGCTATTCAACTCAGCAGACCTCAAGATGCTTTATTTAGGGGGCAACTCACCAAAACAGGAGCTAAAGCGAAATGTGAGCATTTCTGATTCTTACTCAATGTGAATCCTAGAGAGTTTTAAAACCTCTATTAATCTTCTCAAAATTTGATTCAGAGCATTTGTTAAGCATTGTTTGATGATTATATTCTACAGCTAGATTCTCTAAAACACATTTAATTTTTGGTTGCCTTAGCAATTAAACTAAACAGATGAAGACATTTCAGTTTCTTCTTTTTCTGATGTTTATAACCAAAGAATTTCATTCCTTAGCTATTTCTCTCCCAATTTGCTGTCACGCAAAGGAAGATGAGCTGGTAGCTCAATGTAACTAAGCGCACTAGAGCCGAGTCCCTGGTTTGTCACTTCCAGACTAGTGCTCTGCTCTTTGGTGTTCTCACCTAGAAAAGGGATCAGCAAACTACTGTTATGGGCCACTTGGCTTACCACAAAAATTGCCTGTTTCTGTACATAAAGTTTTATTAGAGAAGAGCTGCCATACTCATTCAGGTATGTACTGTCCATGGACCACTTTCCCACCTCAACAGCAGAGTTGAGTAGTTGCAACAGTATGTACCACAAAGCCTAAAATATTTACTGTCTGGCCCTCTAAAGAAAAGAAGTTTGGTGACCCCAATAAAAAAAGATGGGGCTTCACCAGAAAAAAATTCCTGAAATCTCTTGATTGCAGTTCTCTGACAGGGAATGGAGAGGAATGTTTTTTATTCCAGAAGCACCAGCAGGATAGCACTGACAGCTTTTTTTGATATTTGCATTTCAATATTTTAGCCACGTCTTAAAATCTTTAAATTCCTTGATGTAATTTTGAAATGTTTCATATTGAGAGTCACATCTCAAGTATGGAGGTAAAGTCATGTGCATTTCAATGTTGCTGAAAAGGCTCCATTCTGTTGTTTTAAACAGCAGACAGTCCAAATTAAATTCCCTTGGCAGCCAATTAAAAATGCTAATATTTAAATATTCTAAATATAATATTTAAGTATTAAACCATATGCATTATTATAAGTGCTAAGATTTTCTTAAAGACATATTAATAGTTTTAGAACTTAAAAGTTAGAAAAGCAACTTAAAAATTTTTTACAAGTTAACAAATGGTTTTGTGGGCCTCCGGCTTGGAATTTTTTACTGTTAATACAAGAGTGTACTCAGCCACCTTGTCCCTCAGACTGTCAATGCCATTTACATGGTTGTCTGATTTCAAGGTTTTTCCTTGTAAACCTACTAATATATTATCCTTTGGGAGAAGTCACATCATAAGAAGTGTGTCATCTTTTCTTTCTTTTGCAGCCAGATACACAGTATCATCATTTGTGTGCTGTTGAGTATCCTCATCAGGCCCGACCTGGTAGGGGATCTGCAGTGACAGGTGGGACCATGGCTTTTATTTTACTACGATGTGGATATGTTAAGACCCTGCCTTTGTTTTCAATGTTTATTTTCCCTTCCTCCAGATTTTATTAGATTTTGTTTCCCTACATCTTTGTAAATCACCTCAAATTCCTTTTGGAAATGGGATAATAATATAGAGAAGACCTCTATTGGTCAGAGCCAAATTCCAGATTTGTTTTCCCATATGTAAATTAACTTCTCACCACTCTGGCAAAGTAAGCTCCCTTTTTTTTTTTAATCTAAAAAGAGCTAAATAAGTCATGTTTATAACATTCAAACACTGCATGAATTTTATTATGTTGGCAAAATCCATATTGCTATAGAATAAACTGCTGTGGTCAGTTGACCTGCCAGGCCAAGGTAAAAAAAAATTCAAAAATGTCAAGACATGCTGAGTCTGAGTCCATCCCATTAATTTATTTCTAAGTTATATTCTATAGATTGTATTTTCACGGGAGGGGAGAAAATTTAAGGATTATCTTAATTCTTCCTATAATGATATATTCACGACCATCAGGATCATTCTCATGTTGTAGGTGAAATCAGAAGTATTAGGCAGTTGAAATGTTTCCTGTTAATAAGATTAATCCACAAGTTACATTAAAAAGTTATCTGCCTTGGGCGCCTGGGTGGCTCAGTTGGTTAAGCGACTGCCTTTGGCTCAGGTCATGAACCTAGAGTCCCGGGATCGAGTCCCGCATCGGGCTCCCTGCTCAGCAGGGAGTCTGCTTCTCCCTCTGACCCTCTTCCCTCTCGTGCTGTCTCTCATTCTCTTTCTCTCAAATAAATAAATAAAATCTTTAAAAAAAGTTATCTGCCTCAAACCATCTCTGTCATCCAAGTGAATTCTCTTGTTCATTTCCTGTTAGCATTGTTTGGTAGTCTATGAATGCTTTCCATGGATTCTTTCTTGGATTAGTCCTCATAGAGAAGCAATGCTGAGCTAGAGTTAACTACATACAGCCTTGTTGACAGTCATTAACATTTAGATAAGTCAAACAGACATATTAGTCCTTTTTAATCAGTAGCCTCTTCTCTAATAGTTCATTTTTTTTAAGATTTTATTTGAGAGAGAGAGAGAGAGAGAGAACGCAAGCTGGGGGGAGGGGCAGAGGGAGAAGTAGACTCCCCACTGAGCAGAGAGCCCAATTCAGGGCTCAATCCCACAACCCTGGGATCATTACTTGGGCCGAAGGCAGATGCTTAACCGACTGAGCCACCCAGACACCCAGTGTCCTCTTCTCTAAAACTAGATTTCATATCTTAATACAGTTTTTCTGGTTTTAAGTGATAAAATAATGCAAATGTGGTTTTTATTGCCTTGATGAATATATACTTTACTACTTAGTCCCACTCTCCAAATTTTTAAGTCCGACTGATAATTGGAGCAAAAAAGCCCTTAGATATGAACTTGAGATTACCAAATCTAGAATGTCTACTAATGTTACTCTATGATGTCATCTTTGTCTGACAGGTCCTCACTTACATGGGTCTACAAAATCTCAAAACAGAGGTGGACCAGTCTCTAGAACCAGGCAGGCACCGTAGGGCAAATGAGAAGAACCTGCTCCAGGCTGCAGGGAACATGTGAGAAAAATTCATGGTCAGTGTTCAGTCATCTTGTGACGCAAAGCTTGTATACAAGAGACAACTTAAAACCATCTTCATGAAGTGTTAATCTGATATAACTGACAGAAAAAAAAAGAGGATCCGCCAAAGATTACATGGATACTGTTTCCCTCTCCAGTTCCTGTCTTCTTTCAGCATGTTAATTTATTCCATTGGACTTAAAATTTGTACCCAAAGATGTAACAAATAATTATCGCCAAAACTCATGTTGTCTGTTAACTATGATCAGCTCAATGATTATAGGATTCTATGAGACTATACATACTCAAAAAGCAGCAAATAATTGTTTGATAACATTATCACCGGCTTTAGAATACTTCTGCTTGTATGAATTTCTGGAGAGTTGTACTCATTTTTAAGGCATGTTTAGCAGATAGAGCTGTCAAAAATCGGAGTTACTCATCAAACAGATGTCATTCCTAACTTTCTCTTTTAGATGTCCAATCTTATAGGTAAAGAGATAATGGAAGGGCTAAGTAACTAAAGACATAAATGTGGAGCACTGATATAAAGTAATTTATGTAATAAGTCATAATGTATATACGTTTTCAGATAGGACAGCTCAACCTCACAAGGCCTGCTTCCTATCAGATTATGCTTCTTTTCTTCTTAAAGGACCTAGTGGTCATATATATATTTTTTACTATTAAACTCATCTTACCAGATTTTCTCCTTAAACTCTAAGTAAACTTAAAAAATTTATAGAATCTATTAGTGAGCCAGCAATACCTTAACATTTCAGAAAGTCTGGTAATTAGTTTAGTATAAACATATCCTAATAGCAGAAGAACAGAACTTCAGCATTCTTCTGATTTCACCATGGACCTTTTTTGGAGGACACTCATAAATGCAGCAGTGGTTTTAACTATGGCTTCAATTTATTTTATTTAAATTTCATTGAACTTTAATTTACTGTAAATCTTCAGAGTGGATAAACTCAAATAATCATAAATAGGGGTAATTTTTTAATTTTATCTAAGTGTACTAATGCTATCATATGAAGACAGATGCTTCAAACAACCTGCATTAAATTATATTTTAATACAATTAAAGAGTATTTTTTAACATGTTTGTAACCAAACTAAAAATGTGTCATGTGCTTATCTCAGATAAATTATCATACGTAAAACTCAGTAACAGAAAGGTTGTTATATATTCAATGCCATATGCATAAAAGTCTGTTGCCAAAAAATGTCCATATATTCCAATAAGTACAAACCAATTTGACTAAATGTAAGTAAACATCTCTATACCATTCTCACAAATCAATACCATGAGTGCATGATAACAAACCACTGGATCAAGATGGCCTGCCTTTAAAAGTTAACAGAATCAGAAGGAGCCCTTAAGCAGTCATTTAGCCCAACTCCCTCACCCTTTTATAGATGAGGCAACAAGTTCAAACAAGGTCTGCGACCTGCTTAAGGACAGACTTTCAATAATTACAGATAGGACAACTTCTCTTTATGCTACTTAAATCCGGCTACCCACTATAAAGCTGACTTGGTTTACTTTTCTCTCCTCTCTGAACACCATTCATAGTTTTTCTAGACCATAGTTAAATGATCACTGAGATCATTTAAAAGGCCCCAGAACTTAACAGTCATTTTTAACTTATTTCATCATGTGTAAGTCTTACAAAGATGTCTGAAGTAATCTCAACATCTGTTTCTCCTATATTTCAAGCAAAGAGTACAAAACCTGGCTGAATAAAACAAAAAGGAGAGAGGATCTATTCAAGGATATTAAACATGAAAGCAAACTGGCAAATATTTTAAAGACACATGACCAGCAAGGGTTCTGAAAGCGTTCTAGCTAGGTAGAGTTACTGTTCTAATAAACACAACACCCTGAATACTCTATAGCTGTGTGTAGACTCCTGCGTGGCAAAACGACAACTGCTGAAGGCAGTATGGGACAGACCCACATTCTAGACAAGAGATCCTTGTACAGAAGATCCACAGACGCAAGTGCTGCCAGGAAGTATACCACTCTCCCCCATTCCCTCAAGAATCACCAAATTCCTTCATGCAGGACCTCAAAGAATGTCAGGGGATTTCTAGGACTACCAAAATCAGGTTGAGAGATTCTGCTTGGTTTACAGAGTTGAGCTGAATAACTCCTGGAAAGAACTTTTTTCAAGGGCAGGGTTGACTTTTGTCTTCAAATCTTGACTGTATCTTGCCTACAATGGCACCAATTAACACCTAAAGGCTTTTGAAGAGAAAATTCCATTATTTCTTTTCTTTCTTGAGAGGCGTTTTTTTCCCTCCTCGCTTAGGTTTGCAGTACTTTGCTTCCATCTGAGCCAGAAAATTGTCCATTTCCTTTTGCCGATCCTTTTGTCTGCTCTGTTTAAGAAGTTAAAACACAAGCTTTCAAAACACAAGGCTATCCAGAGATAAAAATACTCAGTGGTTGCCAGAGGCTGGTGGAAGGGAGAACAGGGAATGACTGCTAATGAGCAAGGGGTTTCTTTTTAAGGTGACAAAAATGTTCTGGAATTAGTGCTGTTCTACAACCTCATGAATATGCTAAAAGCCACTAAATTATGCACTTTAAAATAAGGATGAAAACATCGTACATGACTTATGTCTTAAAAAAAGAAAACAGAATACCCACAACACTATAACTACAAAGAAAGTATTAGCAGTAGGAATCAGAACACAAGAGTAGTGATGACCTTCAAAGACAACCTGCCAAGCTTACCTGAATGACTGCTTTCAAGTTATCTACTCCTTCGTCAAGGCCCAACTCCTTCCTGCTTATTTCTGCTTCTTTAGCCTCTTCCTGAGCCTAAAACAGAAACTCGTGTTAAGACTCCATGGCAACCTAGCATATACTAAAAATATACCCTTTCCCAAAAGCAAATCTATGGTGACAACCTTTCAATCTGAGGATTATATTGATTAAAAAAAAACACACACACAATTACATAAATATGTCATTCATTAAAAGACAACACTGCTGAGAGCATGCAGTAGATCCTCTAATTCCAATGAGCATTTCTGAGTTTTCCCCATTTTTACTAGCTAGGGGTAGCAAGTAGTTTAGAATTCATAAACCACATGGTGATAAGAATGAAAACAAAATGCCAGGAGAGGGAAGGTCATTTAACCAAGGATGCCTTCAAAAATGTTGCCAGGATACAGGCATCTCAAATTCCTCTCCTCTGGAAACCCACTTTTTAACTACATGTGACTGGTGGCAGCCTTGAGAGTAACCCTGGTTTAAAATTCCCAAGTAGTCAGAATAAACACTAACAAATTCAGTTATAACCTTTCTTTACCTAATTTCAAAGCCACCTTCTTCTGCCAAATTTTCCTAGGGCACTGATTCCAAAATACCACAAGCATACCTTGGGAAAGGTTAATGAGTTTGTTCTTTCTTTCACGGCAACACCACTATATAATAGATCCCAAACCCCACTAATTTTTCTAAATAGCAATCAACACTATTAATGCTAAGAATACTAATACATTAGGATTTTGTTATTCCAATAAAAAGTAGTTTCCATTGTCTACTTTCAGTCCTTGTATTCAATTTCTCTTAATACTGTATATCCACTCCCCAGGTTTGCTGGAGTCGCTAAAAAACTATGCCATCCACCTGCCCCCAACTCTAGGAAAGTTTCTCAAGATAATATCCTATTATTGGATACAGCTGTGCTCAGTTTCACTGGAGAAAATTATTACCAATTTAAACTGTGAGTGGGCCTAAACAGATGTTCCCTATGAGCCAAAATGACTTTTTTGTTTAAAGTAGGCTCCATGCCCAACGTGGGGCTTGAACTCATAACCCTGAGATTAAGAGTCACATGCTCTACTGACTGAGTTGGCCATGCACACCCCCAAAATGATAATCTTGATACACACTCCACTTTGCTCCACACACACACACACACACACACCTTTCCCCTGCACACCCCCAAAATGATAATCTTGATACACACTCCACTTTGCTCAACATACACACACACACCTACCTTTCCCCTGTATCTTGTATCAAAACCGCAGACCTACCTCCACCTCTAATTCAGCCATAGAAAATAAGGCACCCTACCCACCAGACATCTGAAATCTTACACTTCTCTCCACTGAGCTCCCACTAGGAAAGCCAGGTTGAGACAATGGTTACTTGAGTACCAGTCTGGTCTTCCCCCAAAAGACCAGAGACACAGATGCTTGCTGTGAATCCACGCCCTCCCAGACCTTCAGCTGTCTGTCCTTAAGCTCTTTTTCCCTGCCATCATCCCTACCCTCACCAACTCCACAGTTTAATAAGATACAGAAGCCACAATTCTTGATTCTTCACAAGTGTTCCTCTCCACGTGTTTGCAAAGACACTTTCACCAAAATAAACTAAATCATTTGTTTAGAAATGTATATTCTGGGTCCAATTCAACAATCAATCTGGACAAGAACAAAAGAAAATCTGTTTTAACAAGGCACAGTCCAAAAAAAGAAAGTTTAAAAAAAAACAAAAAAAAAAAAAAACAAAAAAAGAAAGTTTTAGTCACCCTCTCCCCATCTCTTAACCAAGTGAGAACCACTGTCCACCCTATGTATCTGGACTCCATTACTTTATTTCTTGAGGAAAGCCTTGACAAAGCTCAAGAACTGGCCCACGTAAAGAGTATTTCAGTGTTATTTTAAGATGATATTAAAGAATCCACCTAGCAAAATCCTCCTGAGCACAACATACTAGGGAAAAAAAGTTTCTCCTAATGAGCTGGTATGCTCATTTTATTAGAAAAGAAATGAGTTAACCCTTACTCTCTTCTTGGTAATCACATTTTTATTATTATAAATACCCTCACATTCTTTTTGGAAGCAATTAAGATATAAAAAAAGCATTCAAAATGCAAGATATAAAAAAAGCATTCAAAATCTTACCCTCCTTTTCCTTGCATTCATCTT